TTGTGACCTTGTTTACTCCTGTCTGTAACTCAGGAGGTGAGCTCATGGGTTTCATGAGGCCAAGGGCTTCAGAATTATCCTAAACTGGCCAATTAGTCACCAGAAACATAATTTTTGTTCAAGCCACAGCCTATACACCTCACTAGACATCTGTTTTGAAAATGCATACAAATACTTCTGACCAAAACACCAGACCAAGCAGAATCACAAAATTGAAGAGTTGGGAAGGATCTCAAAAGTTATAAAGTGAATGCCCCCTCGTCACAGCCTGGGGTCAGCCTCCACTCAGTGTCCTCTCCTGCTGAACCTGAGCCCCGTGAGGACAGAGGCTCCGCACCGTCCCTTTGTGGCCCTAGGATACCTGTGCTCGGTGAATAGCCATGAGCCAGCGAACCGGTGCTCCTTGGGGACAGCCTGCCGCCCCGCAGCCCGCCTGTGGGAGAGCTGGCATCTGTGAAGTCGTCTGATCCGCACTAGGAGCCTCCTCGGGGGCAGCTGTGACATCTGCCCACCTTCTGCACTTGGGTCTTCCAGGCAGCTTCTTCTCCAAGACCAAGTTTGTTTCACTACAGAGTTTGCTACATATCGTTGTTTGCAAGACTTTCTACTGTCTCCTTATGGCAGTGGCTCTCAACCTTCCTAAAGCCGCCACCCTTTAATACAGTTCCTCATGTTGTGTGTGGGCGGACCGCCTGGAGATGGATAGAGGAGCGGTGTCTCGGTTCCTAAGACCTTCGGAAATATGTGTTTTCCGATGGTCTTAGGCGACCCCTGTGAAAGGGTCATTCAACCCCCGAAAGGGGTCGTGACCCACAGGTTGAGGACCGCTGCCTTATGGGCTGCCTTAGGTCAGTTCTGAAATGCAGCACCCAGAATGAAATGTAACTCTTCCCCATTGTTGCCTGCCTGGCCCAGAGCAGACTTTTCTGGGACTAAATCTTTCCAAGTCCTTCACAGCTCTTGAAAATGGCATCAAATGGCAAGATGATGCTGACGAGGCCTCACAGCTAAGTACTGCAAACTCCTCCCAGAGGCTTAAATCATCTGTTAAGGAACCTCTGTGAGGGGCTAAGATTCGAAGACATTCGTTACATTCCCCTCGCAGTTGGACCCATAGTAGATTTCTGGGAGGGGTCCCTTCTGAATGGAGCTCATTGAGCACTCAGGATCCTGGAAAACTCAGTCCCCCACTGTGCACGGTGAACTGAACCCCAGCAGCCCAAGTGTCAATGCAGACATGGAAACTCAGCACCTGAAACAGAAAACGCAGTTTCATTACCCCAGAGATTTTTGTTTTTGCCAATAAATTGCTTCTATTTTATGACGATATTGGATCATGAACCCATTCACCTTAACGTTGGTTAATGAGGCCTACAAAGCAAGTCATAAAAATGCTTTGCTTGCAATGCTGTTTTTAGAAACTGCAATCTTATGGAAATATCTTTATCACTATTAAAAGCATGTGTAGTTCTTCAAGAATCCTAGAAATGAAAGGATTCTCAGGCTCTTAAGATCCTACTGTAATTACGGAACCAAAAGATTGGAGAACAGTAGTGGGAAGTATTTCTCAAGTTATTTAAAATGTGTTGCCCTAACCCTGGCCAGTTTGGCTCAGCGGTTGAGCGTCGGCCTGAGGACCAGAGAGTCCCGGGTTCGGTTCCTGCTAGGAGCATGTATCACCAAAAAGAAAAAAAAAAATGTGTTGCCATAAAGTAGACTTTAATCTAGAGATGGCTCAAAATAGTTTGAAAAGAGAGATTGTTTTGAGCTGACAGGCTGGGACATAGACCAATAATAGTTTCAAGAAAAAAAAAATTTCTATGAAATTATATTTCTTCTATTAAATATATATAGTAAAAATTATATCTTAAACTAAAAATAAACGTTAAGAATTAAGAGTGAATGTAAATTAAGGAAAAAATAATAACCTGTTTTTTTACCCAAAGTTGAAAAGGCATTAACATTCATAGCTGATGAGAATAAGTCATTATCAGACCGTGTCATTTGAGGACGAGTTGCTACAAATTAGAGAAAATCACCTGGAAATGTGAATTAAAATGTAAAATATACATTTTAAAATAGTTCAGTTCTGAACTAGAAAAACTGCTTTTGTATCTAAGATATATGTATGAAGCTGTTTGTTGCAGCGTTATTTGTCATAGTAAAAACTAGAAGGAACCTAGTAATTATGGTTAAGCAATAAAAAACATTGTTTGACTGTAAAAAATAAAATGTATAAATTAGATGTTGATGTTAATACTGGAGGGGTAACCTTGAATTAAAAATAAAATGTTACTGGCTGGTGTGGCTCAGTAGCTGAGCATTGACCCATGCACCAAGAGGTCACCAGTTCGATTCCCAGTCAGGGCACATGCCCAGGTTGTGTGCCCAGCCCCAGTGAGAGCATGCAGGAGGCAGCCAATTGATGTGCTCTCTCATCAATGTTTCTATCTCTCTCTCCCTGTTTCTTCCTGTCTCTCTAACATCAATAAAGAAAATAAAAAATAAAAAGTTACAGAGTAATATAGTCTTTTTTCTCCAAAGCCAAATAACAACAACAAAAAAAACCCATTCGTGTGTAATTGCATGTTTGTATAAGCATGAAGCCTTTGATACTGATTTCCTGGGGACCCGAAGGCACTCAGAAGTGATTTCATAGGAGGCCTTAGCTCTCCCTCACCTAGAGTGGCTCCACAGAAACACACACAGAAGGAAAGAGGGCGTTTGCACACAGGTCCCTGCGTAGTCAGCACACCTGAACACTGACACAGAGATTCTGAAGTCATAGCTTCAGACTTGAAATGGAAAAGAGATTGCTTTCTCAAAGCTATACATATCTTCTTCTGATTTTCAAAAATTATTATGCAGCATTTTGGAACTTAATATGAAAACTAAAAAAGTTGTGGTGGAACTATTTAGGAACCACTATGTGTGAGCTGGGGTAGAGGGGTGAAGAAAGGAAATTAGTTGTAATTACCCAAAAGAATAGAAATGTTACTTCCCTTTCCATTGGTTTGTTCATGCCCACCTGCCTTGGCCTTTTTGTCTCCATTAAGTCTAGACATTGTTAGCTGTGAGGACTAGAAAGGGTCAGAGAGCTTCTCCAAATCATTCCCTAGCCAACACTTTCTCAGCTTGTTTTCAAGGTTTAGCCTCTAGCATTTGTTTCCAGGTCCACATATGACATTCTCATCCAAAGATCCTGCTGTGGATATAGTGGGAAATAGAACCTTTGGATGAATTTGTTTTCCAGGAGTTAGGATGAAATTGTAATTAGTCTTTCATTCCCGTAACCATTTCTCCTTATAACCCACAGAGCCCACCATAGAAGGTTGTGTTTGTTCTCTAAGCAAAGTTAGATAACTCTAGCTTCAGCTTCACACATGCAGAAAATTAGGATGTTTATGCACATATGGTAACTTGTACAAACTTCTATATATCAACATGTACTGCCATGTGTGTATTTGGCCGTTTCCTCGTGAATCTAAGCTTTTAGAAAGCATGCACCAGGTCTTTCTCTTCATTATTTTCAGTGTCTAGCAGAGTGCTTGATACAATAAGCACTAATAAATGTTCATTGGATGAATGAGAGATATAAATGAGTATTTAATGAATGCCTATTTAGCCCAAGAATATGATTTATTTACTTCTTATGTAAAACAAGAATCAAGGTATTGCTCTGCATAACAGCTCCAGTGTGAGAATCAGAGAAAGTAACAGAAATGCAAGTAATTGGTGCAGTGCAAAGTCTTATGGAAGAGAGAGCATTGTTGAGAAGACTTTTGAGATGCTGGGTCTCTGAAATGCTGGATCTCTGAAAAGCATGCACATAAGTTCCCCAAATCCACTGCTGGGAGAGGCAAAGCTCAGAAGCACAAGTTTGAGGGTCTTCATATTCAGTTACACAGGAATAAAAAACAGAGCTTGATGAATCCACTTTAAGTCTGTATTAACTGTATTTGGGTTTTCTCTTATGCCTCTACTTTGGTTTTGTAGCATTGTAATCATAAGACACTTCTTCAGTGGACTGCAAGGTCTCAAAAGATTCAAAACCAAATACTACTCTAGAAATATTTATGTAAATAAGAAATTATCTAAACATATTGTTTTTTATATTAAAATACATATTATGTATTTACTCATGTGGTTTTTACCAACCCTGATGGTAACTTCTGGTTTCTGAAAAACTCTTTAACAGGGATTGCTCAGCACAGAGAGAAAGGGGGATACATGTGCTCAGCCACTGACCAGGGCCTTGGCTGGTCCCTAACCCACCTAGGTATGAGCTTGACCAGATGCTTGGCCTGTCTTTGCTTTACTCTCTCTTTCCACGTTCAAGGAGGTAAGCTGTAGTATCTCCAAGATCACATCCTTCTCTAACATTTTGAAAGTTTTTCATTTAATTCTATTACTTTCCCATTATAATTCTACTTCAAGCAGAAAAACAAAAACAAAAACAAAACATAATCCTGCTATCTCAGGTTAGCACGGCTTGTTCGTATCATATAAACCAACTTACTAAATATTTGCATGATGGCCTCACAAACACAAAATAGAGTGGTTACTGATATCAACAACTTCATTGTGCTCATTAATCAGAACAATCTAATACTTGCCAAGCTTTCACCTGACTTTGTTCAAATAAACGCTTAAATATCTTGGAGACACACACGCTCACGATGAACATCATTTATGTGGTTCCACACTTCATCAGCTTTTCCTCCTCCGCCTGAAAATCAAAACCTGTCCACGAACGTTACTTTACTGTAATACTCAGGAATGAGATGCTTTCTGACGAGGAGAGTGTGGGGGCATGAGTGTCTGAGCCAGGACCCCCGCCTGCTGCTTCCCAGTAGGGGCGATGGACCGGCAATGGGCGGGGCTGTGGGGTGACGGGCGGGGCGGGCATTGTGGTGGGGGACGGGGCGATGGGCGGGGCGGGGCGATGGGCGGGGGATAAAGGCTGGAGCCCGCGGTGGGGACACGAGGGGCCAAGCTGAGCAGCGCTGCGCTGGGCTGAACAGCACCGTGGACAGCGCTCGGCCCGCGGCTCTACCTCGCACTGGCACACGCACCCTGACACACACTCCGCTGCACGATGGCAGAGTCCCACCTGCAGTCGCCCCTCATCTCAGCCTCACAGTTTTTCGAAATCTGGCTTCACTTCGACGCTGACGGTGACTATCTCCTCTTTTATCTGTCTAACCCCCCAACCCGGCCCGTCCCCTCCTCTCTTCCCCTAGCCTCCGATCCCATTCCCCTCCCCCCCGCCCCACCCCCGTTTCTTTTCTTTACTTCTTTAGCCTCCTCCGGCGCCCGCTCCCCAATCTTACCTCCAGTATGGCGTGACTGTGAACTTGGAAGTTTATATATTGCTTCGATGTTACCTCGAAACATAAACTTCTTTCTCTCCAGGAAAGTTGGGGGCAGGGATTGGCGGGGCGGGGGGCACACTGCTCCCCAAAGGTCCTGTGGCCATGCTCAGCTTCCCCACCTCTGGGTAATCCAGGTCCGGGCAGGAGAGAGCCCTCTGGGGTGGCCAGAAAGACACCTGTCCTGGACACTGAGCGGGGAAGGGGCTAGGATGTCTGACACCTGGGGCCTCTGTCTTTGCAGGAAGTGGGTACCTGGAGGGGAAGGAGCTGCAGAACCTGATCCAGGAGCTCCAGCAGGCGCGAAAGAAGGCCGGGCTGGTAGGTTCAAATGCAAAGGAGAAAAATATAGATATTCTATGTTCTCATAAAGAGCCAGTGGGGCCAGTGGTTTTCAGGGTGTGTAAACATCTATTGACTGAGGAAGGGGAGGAAGAGGGCCTTTGCAAATTGTGTAGGGTAAAGAGGAGAGACACACAGACAGGGAGACAAAGAGAGACAGAGGAAGAAAGACATAAAGATAAACGAGAGAGAGAGAGAGAGAGAGAGAGAGAGAGAGAGAGAGAGAGAGAGTCCCTAAAGGAAAAAACCCTGCTACCTGAAATCAAAGCATCTGAGTTCAGCTTCTATACCTGCACTGCTTTAATGGTGCATAAGAAGAAAGTATGTGTGCAGAGACCTAGCGGGTCAGCACCTCCGGGACTGAGTTCGGTTAGGTAATTTTTAACTTCTAGCTGCCTGAGGAGTCGGGGTAGAAATGCATCTCTGCCCCTTGGTGGTCAGGAAGCAGATCTGCAGATTACAGATCTCTGTTGCCAGTGTACTGTGGTTGCCATGTTAATGTGGTTGGAAGATGGGAAAATGCCGTCTTGACCTTCCTTCCTCACTGGAGGCAAGTTGGACACTTGCAACATGATACAAGAACTTAGCCTGAAAAGTGTTAATTTCTGTCCAAAGGGAGAACTATAAAAGTTAGAAATGTAAAAAGTAAACCAATTTAACAATTCAATATGTTTTAAAAAGTGATACTCTGATGGTAAGCAATTAATGGCATTTTGAAAATAAGCTATAATTGTAATTTAAGCCATTAGTTAAACAAATGACAATCCTTACTAATTCTGAATGACTTCCTTTAGTTATAAATTAACCTGTTAAGAAAATATGTTGTCAGTATAAAAATAAGATATGCCCAGCTTTCAATCATAGATGAGATGATTGTATAAAGGAAAATAGGTTAAGAATTTTACTAATCTATTGGGATTTATGTAAGACTGCATTTCAGAAGCAGTGATAGATTTTGGCTAGTTAGATGTTAATCTTTAACTTTTTTGACTACCGCTAGAAAGAAATTTCACATTACAGATTATATACACAGGGTGGGGCAAAAGTAGGTTATAGTTGTTCCTATGGAAAATAATACAATAATTAATAAATAATAATAAAAGTATATAATCTGTTTTGTGTACTCGCAACTGTAAACCTACATACACACACATATTTGGAGGAAAATATAGGTGTGTGTGACCCTTAGCAGATCACCATCTCTAGCACTGAGTTATATATAATTATATATATATATAACTTACTAATACAGTTACGTTTTGTTCTATGTGTGATACACATCTCTGTTCAACATATTCAAAAAAATCCCAGAGGACTCCAAAATGTAATACATTACAGAACTATCAGTTGCTAAAATCACTGACTGGACTGATTTAAAACCAGACAAGGCTCTGGGGACTGTTTCCCCCAGATCTAATATTATATGAATCTGAAAGTATAATTGAATGGGATCAAATCAAACAGAAAATGTTTTATAAATTCTTTCTCTCCACACCCTCCCCCACCTTACACATTACCATGAAATAAATTCATGCGATACTATCATTATAGCTCTGACTAATAAAGCAAAACAAGTCTGTTATTTAAAAATATATATTTAAAATATTTGGTTGGAAAAATATTACTTGTTAAAAATTCCAAATTGAAACCTTGTAAGATGCTTTCAGCAAATAAATGATTATATTTTAATTTTTCTAGAAGTAATTTTAATATTGATATTTATTTTCATCTTAGAAATTAAAATATTTAAAAAATTACACATTTTTTTCAGGTTTTTCTTTTCCTCTTCCCATTTTAATATTTGTATTTTTTGTAAATAATGACTTTATGTTAGCGGTTTAGATATTTTAGAGCTTAATTATTTTTTTCTACTTCCTAGACTTCAATTCTGGAGTAATGGATACTAATTATTAGGTTATAATCTAACAACACAAAATCTGCTCAGAGTACAGGATTACACCAAGTTGCTTGGTACCTTGATTATTGACTATTTTTCCTAAGATGATTTTAAGATTTAAGAATGAGCACCTCATTTTTTGTATACTTTAAGAACTTTAGTTTACATTAGAATGCATAGTCTCACTATTGCCATTTTGACTTTCTTACAATTGTTGCTATAGTAAAATTTAATAAATGCAAGTTAAAATTAATCCATACTAGAGGAGTTTTTAAAAGACTATATTATAATTAAATTGCTTATACTAATTATAATATAATTATAATTATTTGCTACTTAACAGTATTTAACTACTCCCAGTATTTACTTTGGTTCATTAAGGATTTTGTAAAACTTGTAGTAATGATATTCAGCCTCAATATAGCCCTTAAATTGTACTAACCGGTCTATCTCTAGAGCCAAACAGCTGGTATATATTACCATCTTTTTAGTTATGACAAAAACTGAGACCTTAATTTGCTTTGCAAGGACACAGAACAGGACATTAGTAAAGGCTGACCTATTTTAAACAGGCTTCAGTAAATTCAACAGGACTGTTCTAAACGGGCTGTGTTGGAGATCACGGGCCTACATTCAACCTCCTAAATACTAACCACTCACAGTTCATAGATCTCTAACCTGTCGATGGAAGATACTGCACGAGCAACAGGACAGAGTGGGGGGAAGCCAGGTGATTAAAGCATTCACTCTCTTACTCACATGTCTTATTGAGCTGAAGTTCGTGGGAGGGAGAAAACCCTCTCAGAACAAAGGAGACACTGGGACACTGCACGCATGATCTGTGGCCCAAAATAAGATCATCAATGTTGTCTGTCTCTAGTGAAAGTATAAGTCATTTTTTATCTGACACGTATCTTTCATATGTTTAATTTCTTACTGATTTAATCAATGGATGCCACTTCCGTGCTGGAAACATTTTTTTTTTTTGCTTACAAAATGAGTCGCTCCTCAATGCTCAACTGTTTTGTGTGTCCAAACTGAAAACATATAGTATTATCTTCCACGGATGAAATGTGTTAGAATAAGGACAATATCATAGAACAATTAGTGCAGCAAAACGAAACAATCTCTTCTGAAGCAATGTTTAAAAGTACATTAACAGTGATCATTATATTTAAATTCACTATAGGCTATAAACTGAGTAGTTCTGACAACATTTTAAAGGGTAGCATATTCTCAAACTAATAATAGAAGATAAATCATAGTGATTGATTCAGAAATGATCATGATAATAGTAAGTCCTTCATTGGAAACCAGCAAATACTATGTATGAGTTATGTCTTTAATTTTCATGAGAATAGTTCATCAGTATGAATTACTAACACTATCACAAGCATAACTGGGTTTGGGTTTTATTTTTACAAATGTTTTACTTGCTTTTATACAATTTTAGGAGTTGTCACCTGAGATGAAAACTTTTGTGGATCAGTACGGGCAGAAAGATGATGGAAAAATAGGAATTGTCGAGGTAAGAAGCATGCATTTTCAGACACAGTTTTAATAAATGGGCCTCATTTGGTAGCTGTGTCTGACTTAAACATGACATGGCAAGATCCATTCGGAGAGCCTTATTTTGCCTAAGTAACAGGTTATCTTCTGTTCAGAAATATGAAATCAAAAATTGTTGAGAAATGAAAGGAATCTGAGAGTTTGCTGAGTCTTCAGCCTGAGTTTAAGATGAGAACAGAGACTGGGACAAGGAAGGAATATGCCAGCACAGGCCAAGTCAGGTGCACACCCATCCCATGCCCTCGCCTGCCTCACTCAACACGGCACCTGCCGTGGGCTCGGTTCACGGGTATCTCTCATCATTCAACAGTGCAGACCTTTCTGCTGAATAGAAAATGAAATGTTTGCAGTCCCTGTGACAACATCATGGCAAAAAGCTGCGTCCGGCTTCTGAGGTTCTATTTCAGTTTGGCAGTGGGCGGGTTAAGATCTGTTAGATCAAAACTTGGGTCTCAAATCTTCTCTTTTGATGACGGCTTTTGTCTATGAATCAAAAAGGCAAAACCATGGTTTCCAATCAGTGCTTCCACGTTCCTTGATTTCCAGTCTCCCAAATGCTGGTGTCTCTGCGATTCCTTAAAATCTCAGACTATTTCTACTAGAAAAATTGAGTGGACAGCTTTCAGCAAAATTAATAAGCTCCTGTTTTAAAATATGCTACATCGTTCTTTATAGAATGTTGTTAGTGTACTAGATGGTGATATATTTCAAATGCTAACAATATTTAGTCATAATTTACTTTTGATTCAGAGAACTAACGTGGTTTTAAAATAATTGATCTCATAGGACAGTTGTGTCAATGTGAACTACACTTACTTTTAAATAGCTACATCTTACAAATAGTGTTAAGGGAGGACATACTATTATTATCTTTGTAATTAAAGTATTTCCCTGGAGTATGCACTTCCTCTCAGCCTATGTGTAACTCATTGCTATATAAAGAGAGGATTTACAGTAATGGGACGTACAGGTTGAGAAAGAGGCCAGCTGGCCCAGATGTGGACTCGTGGCCTGTACGATGATAACTCTCAGGTCCGCTGAGGCAGAAAAGTCAAAGGGAGAGAAGTGAGACCTGTGGGTGGATCAGGAGGCCTAGTCATCCTACCACAGGGACGGGACCCTTGGGAAAAACCAGCCAAGATTCCTTATTTTAATGATGAGAAGACTGAAGCCAGAAAGGTTGAATCATGGATGTCTCCAAGTTCTCACGGGCGGGGAGTGGGGAAACCCAGATCTGGCTCTGAGTTCATCAGCCAGGGCACAGGACGGGGGCGGGGTGACAGGTGGACAGGGAGAACCAGGGCCCAGGAGAGAGGACAGGGGCACTGGGGATGAAAGGTGGGGCAGAGATGGCTGCAGTGGTTCTGTGATGCCAGTTCTGTCCAGGGCGGCGAAGTCGGGGTGCAGAGAGAAAGGACAGGCTCTGAAGATCACTGGAAAAGAGACAGAGAGCTCTGGGCACAGGTGGAAACCAGGGGCGAGGAGCGGGGCGCACTCACTACAGGGTGCCCTCGGGGGTCACGAGGAAGGGGGCTTCCATGAAGTCCATCCCTGCTGCTTTCCAGCCTGACACAGGGTGTCCCTTCCTAACACATCTGACATACAGCCTGGCACACGGACAGATTGCCATCCAGCTGTGAAGGAAAGGAAAACCCCAGGCCGTCCGGAATTAGTACTGACCCGCCCACTCGCTTCATGCAGCTCTACTCTGGGGGCCACAGAGGGAACGGCTGGGTTTGCCGAAATGTTCTGCCCACTTAATGGGGACTCAAGATCTAATCCAAGTGAACCGAACGACATTCGGGCGGCAGTCTGCTCTCCCGAAGGGAACTGGCCGCACTGATGTGGGAAAGATCAGGAGAGAGAGTGGTTCATGTCCAAAGTTCTGTGCTGACGAATGGGGCCCACTCGCTCCAATACTGTGGCTTTGGCCCTGAACCCACGTAGAAAGAGTGCTTTTTCTGAAGTTTTCAATTTCATATGTTGAATAATTTTGAAATTCACACAAGCCCAGTTCCATAATAAAGAGATTGTATATTAGGAGAACTGAAATTCTGAGATAATTTAACAAATACAGTGACAGCAAAAACGCTTGAATTGACTGAGACTAATGACTCTATGGCAGAGAAGGCCGATTAGAATAATTAAAGAGGAAAATAAATGACTGAGCAGATGAATGGAAATTCTCTGGTGCTGACAGAAAGCCTAGGCACTTCCCTTGGCGGGATCTGGAATCCGCAAGCTTGCCCCGACCCCTGGGCATGAGCGGGACCCACCCGCCTCTCCATTCTCTTTGTGTCTATTTGTCCAGGTCACTGCATCCACTGAAGAGATAGAGCTAGAAGCTATTTTAATCTCAGAACTGTAACAGTCCTCCCAGGGAAGCAGGCATTTCTGTAGCTGTTACCTCCGTCCACAGTGGGATGTGAGCCTGTGAGTTCAAGCACAGTGAAGGCAATTTTTCTGGCACACTAAATCTTCACCAGGGAATGTGGAGAAATGACGGATGATGAAATCTAATTTAAAACTGCACTCTGGATAGATTTTTAAAAATGGTTTATTAAGAAAACTTTTTGATTGGGGGTTTCAATTGAGGGTAAGAGACGAGGGTCTCAAAATCCAGAAAGTCAGGCTGTCTCACTTCAAATCTGGCTCAAACCAGAAGCTCTGTGAAAGCAGCCCACCTGTTCTCTGAGCCTCTGCCACCTTGGCTGTGAACAGGGGTGACGTGTGAGTGGTGACATCACATGTGACAATACATGCCAAGCAAATAGATATACCCTAGCACACTGCAAAACTCAATAAATGTATTTGCTATCATTTAAAATGAAAATGATTCAGTGGAGAGTCTACTACACTCTTCTGAATGCCAAGCCTTTTCCCCACTTCTTATGTAACTTGTCAAATTCAAACTGTTAAATTCAACTAGACCTAAAGGTATAGGAGGTGGCTTGCCTTCCACACGTCCTGGACCCGCTCTTCATTGGCTGGGAAGGACATTCCTCCGGTTCCCAAGTGAAAAGTGGGTGCTCTGCTAACAAGTGTGAAGGGAGGTCAACGTGCAGCAGGACTGTCGTAACGTCAGGGCTTTGCTGTGTCTCACTCAGTCTCTGTCTGATGAAGTCGTCCTTCTCCTGGTACTGAGCTCTCTCCCTCTATCCACCTCCTGCTTTGAACTTGTCTGCATTCCTGTAAGATTCTTCCTGGAGGACTGAGTCCCCAGCACCAAGCATGTGCTCGACATAGCCCAGTATCACAGCAGGGATTTCAGTCGACTCCAAACATCAAGCAAAGGCTCTGGGATGTGCCAGCAACAGAAAAGGGACAGGAAGACCCACCATGGGGTCAGCTCCCTGGGAAGCAGGCCTGGCCTGAAGATGAGCAATGAGGGTCATTAGAAGTGTCCTGTGAGAGTCCCTGCCAAAGGGGAGTGGACAGAGTGGGACTGGACAGAGGAGACGCTGGGTGGTGACAGCCCCATAGGGGCTTCAGTGGACTCCACTGTGCACTCAGGCTGGGAGGACCCCTCAAAGATGGCCCACGTTTTATGGGAGAGGGCTGGGACTTCGTATGCCCCTATGTCCTTGGGGACACAGCTCTCTTCAGCCCAGGTCACCTCCCAGAGACCTGACAGCTGAAGCCTTGCACTTTTAGCCCGAGAGCAGCTCCAGATGGCATGTCACAGTGTCCCCGCTGCCCCACCCACAGCTCAGTGATGTCCACTTACGCTAGCCTCCACTCACTGGGTCATGAAATGTTGACAGAAAGGTTTGCCGGTGCTGGGCAAGGAAACTGAGCGAGGCCAGGCCACGTCCCCAGGTGTGGACACACTGCTGGGGCAGCCGGGCAAGTGGGCAGAGTTGTGTGTTTGCCCATGCTCAGGACAGGGCGCCCATCCTCACAGAGGAGGGAGTCTCTGGGTGGCCACAGCGACCTGCCTTCCACTATTCCCTCCACGTCGTCCCCCTCTTCTCCAGCCCATGAAAGTGTTTGGGAGTCCAGGGACTAAGCAGTCACCAGTCATCTTGGGACAGGCAAAGGACACTCCTCTGGTCAACAGAGACAGCGAATCTGCGATGAAGGCAGCCCCTCCTACACCTGCAGTGAGAGCCCCTGCTCCGGGCAGACGGCCTGAGACCCAGGCCCACCACGCTGGGGGGCACACCTGGTCACTGCGGCCCCCGCTGTCCACACAGTCACCGCTTCCCTCTCACCACTGTGTTCACGTTTCCAATTCTAACGTACACAACGGTGGTGCTGCATTCAGTTTATCCTGAACAAATCAGTGAAATTAAAAGATGGAGTACATCACACATAGATATAATGTTTTTTAAAAATAATCAACACAAGTAGGATGAAAAGCATGGGAAAAGAAATGTACATACACACTAAAATGAGCGATTTTGCCATCTTTGTGTTTGACATTCTGGAAATTTCTGAACTTCATGTGAGTTATATGAATTTTAATTTTACCCCTGGTCATTGCTTACTAGCTGTTTCTTTTTTCACATATTTGGTGGATTTGGATAAGTAGAATTTAAGAAAAATTTTTATTTTTTGTGTGCAAAACAACACACAGTAATTATGAAAATCCAAGCAATAGAGAAAACTACAATGAAGATAGTAAAACACATTACTCATTACTAATCACGTTAAATGGGTATTTTCATGAAGTAAAATTATCAACCAGTCCACAGCATCTGTGCCAGGCACCTAAGGTGCTGAGCGTCCGGGGACAGAGACCAGGGATAATGTCTGCCTCCTGAGTGGACAGTCTATGGGGACATCCACCCAAATTTTGCAAAGCGTATCTGACCAGTCCTGTACCAACAAATCCAGGAAGGGGTGGCTTTGGCTGCTCCCCGTTTCCTTCGTGAATGCTTATGTCAATGCTCAACCAGCTGGTGGCCTTTGTTCAGAATAAACAAACACGTTTTCTGACTGAGCCACACTAAACATCCATAGAGACGTTTGACCCCGTCCATCCCCAACATTGTGCCTATAAAGGGGATGGTTCCAATTAGAGATATTATTTCAAAAATCTAAAAACAAGGTAAGTTAAAGGACATTTTATACAGGCATTAAGAAGTTGAAATTACTTGCATATGAGGCAGATGATACATTTCATATTTAATTTTTTTAGTGGACCTAAAAGGATGACTTTTTTTTTTAAGTGTGACAGTCTTTTCAATAGTTTGGTAGAGCTTTGGATGGTATACTGACCTTCAGGTTGACCCAGACCCCAGGTTCCTCAGCACCTGGAACGACAGACGAGGTGAGGGCGCCCTGGCCGCGGCAGAGCCACGCTGCGGCAGGCTCCCACAGTCCTCTCGCACCCACCGCGTGTCGGGGACACTGGATTCTATTTCAACTCCTTCGTTTAGAGGCAAGGCCCTAAATGGCCCAGGGAGTTGCTGGGACCACAGCTAATTAGCAGCTGAGCCAGGAATAGGACCTGGGCTGCCGTGAGGCCATCAATCCAGCTCCTTCCCTCCCCACACACAAGAGATGGATTATATTCGTCTTAGAAGGGAGTTGGAGCCCCTTTTAAAAAAAAAGAGCACTGAAGTTATGAAATGACACCTACGGGAAGTGCCACAGGGCCAGGAAAGGGAGGTTATACACAAACCCATGCGCCACGTGCAGGCAGTGGACGTCCCTGTCCCTCCTCAGTGTCCACTGCTGATCGTGAGTTGTCTTCTCCACCTCTTTCCAGAGCCTTAGAACTGTCTTGGGCTCATCTTCCTCCCCAGGTTTGGGGATGAGCTTCTTTCTGGCGTCCTCCCCCCCACATTCACACTTCTGCGTGGCCCCCAGGTCCCATTCTGAGAGCCCGAGGAACTGGTGATGCAAAACGGCAGGCGAGCCACTGGCCGAGCTGGTGATGTCCGGCAGGTGGCGTGGCCACCACTGCCCTGGCCGGAGAACAGCCCTGCAGGGGCAGCCCGGCTGGGAGAACGGTGGCTCTCCAGAAACAACGCATCAGGAGGAAGGGGGGACTCTCTCCTGTCCTGGTTTTCCAGGCAAGGAAACTGGCCCCAGTGAGCATGCTCAAGAGAAACTGAGCAGCAGCAAATGCCACAGACTTGCTGCCCACTCCTGACGCTTTCTCACTCACTTGCAGCTGGCTCACGTGTTGCCCACGGAAGAGAACTTCCTACTCCTGTTCCGATGCCAGCAGCTGAAGTCCTGCGAGGAGTTCATGAAGGTGAGCGCCGGCCGCTGGGCCGGTCCCCGCGCGGCCTAGAGTGGGGAGTGCGGGCTGTGGTAACACGCTGTTTCCTTGTCCACGGTTACTTACAGACGTGGAGAAAGTACGACACCGACCACAGCGGCTTCATCGAAACCGAGGAGCTGAAGGTAAGCGAGGACACACCTGTCAGCCGTTTCCCTTCCTGCAGCTATGAACTTGGCACCTTCTTAAAAACCTCCCGCAAAAAAACAAAACAAAAAAAAACCTGGCACATTTTCACATCGTTAATGAAGAACCACATCAAAAAGAAACTTGAAGCACTTCTTGAAATTCTGTGCAGTAAGGCAAAAAAGGAGCATTTTCTGTGCTGCACACATTGTTCTACAACACAGAGATAAATACTAGGTGAACGTACCACTCCTCTTCATTGAAATTCAATAGTTTCTTTTATAAATTAAGCACCTATCTAAATAGATTTTTCTTTAAAGAGAAAGAAAAAACGTTCCGAGGCACTGTGGGATCAGTTTTACCGTGTGAGGAAGAGGTGAGCAGTGGAGTGAGGTCCTGATGCCCGGCAGAATCAGACCGGAGGCCAGCGTGCAGACCCAGGCTCGCCAGCCTCAGGGCCTGCACAGCCCCTGCTCCTGGCCTCCTCTCGAGAACAAAGTATATGTATGACATATATAATTGATCAGATTGCTCAAAAGTGCAACTTTGAAAATGAACACATCCATTCACATCGCAGACTACAGAGGAGCCAGTGAGCGGGGAGGGGGATATAACGGAGAGGCCAGGGGATCTGTAACCGTCATCCTCTGGACAAATCTTTGTATCATTCTGATTTTTACGTCTGTACAATGGGTTAACAATACCTTCCTCTTGGATCTATTGTGAAGCTCAAGTGAGATGTTGCACATGAAATAGTTTTTGAAATTCAAGGCACAATAAATTCCATCATTCATGAGCTCAGTAATTTACTAGCCTTTCAGAAATGTGGAAGCATTTTTCTTTCATCTCCTTATATCGACCCCAAGACTTCTCAGTCCAGGAGACCCTGTTTCCATGACCTTCAGAATATGGTGACTGAAAGGAAAGCACATTTATATTTACTGAGCATCTACTGTGTAGCAAGGTGACTGAACTGTACTTTAACATTACTCCTCACAGAAAGTTTGCCAGGCAGTGTTACTGTGCCCATTCTTCAGACAGGGAACTGAAGTTCAGACATACTGGATAATTGTCAAGATGACATGCTGCCTGGGGATGGAACCAGACGTGGAGCCAGGCAGAATCTGCAGTGACGTCCCAGCATCCCCACTGCCGCGGGCTGCCAGGCTCCGTCCTGAGCGCTGCCTCCCTGCAGCCGCAGGGAAATGCGAGCACGAATGTGGTCTGGTCCTGTTGGACATGCTGCGAGTCACACAGTTTCAGAGATGGGACTTGGATGACCGCAGAACGGCTAAGACATATCCAACCACTGCCTCTTGGAAATGTTAATTTTTGTTTGTTTGTTTGTTTTTAGAGTGGAAGGGAGGGAGAGAGAGAGAAACATCGGTGTGAGAGAGAGAGACATCCTTTGGTTGCCTCCTACATGACCTCCACCGGGGCCAGGGATAGAACCTGCAACCCAGGCATGTGTCCCCGACCAGGAATCAAACCTGTGACCCTTCAGTCCGCACGCCAACACTCTATCTGGTGAGCCAAACCAGCCAGGGCTAAATATTTGTAATGTGAAATCACCACAGACAAGGTGTTCGACAAACTTGCAGTTCAGCAACGTACAGCCTGCAAGGTAACAGCTAAGCTATTGTTTTTATCCCATTGAGCCAAACAAATGCTTTTGAAGATTACAAGTTCATGGTGAGAAACTTAGCTCACTTCCAACACTGACCTCAAAATACTCAAAAGGTCTCCTTCTCTGTTCTAAATTCTTCTCAGAAAGAGATTCTAAATAGGAGTCCTCCTCTCTGGGGAGTGTTGAGGGTAAGTTGGCATTCTTTTTTAATGGATCTTTCAAGAAAGCTAATTTTAAGATCTATAATAGAGTAAAACATCTCTTGCTCTCAGACACGACTTTGAACCTCAGTCCCGAGGTTTCTCCCAGGCTATTTTTGTGACCACCATTTTTGTCTCTGGTGAGGATTTTTAACCCAATTAATCTCTGACAAAAGCCTCCTAAGACTCAAAAATAAAATTCACCCTAACAGATAACTTTGAATTTTCTATGCTTAACTTTGGAATGTTGGAAGTGACAATAAATCTCTCAACCCTCCCCAAGTCTCCTTCTGTGGAAAGAATGAAGTTCCATCGGCTCCACAGAGCAGTACATCTGAGAGGGACACAAACCTCTGAGAACCACAGACACCCACTCCTCCTCCCACGGTGTCCATGCACAGATCTGCCCATTTTCCACAACAGCAAAATCATTTTCTAAGAAGATAAGAAGTCGAGAATGAACAGCACTAGACAAAAATAAAAGACTGGTATTTGCTCACAGAGTTACACTGTCATATCTGTGGCAACCTTTTGTAGAGTTTTTATGTCCCTGTTAAAAAAAAATTTACACTCACTCCTAACTTCCACCTGTGAAATTATGTCAGCCTTCTCATCCTCCCCATAGTCATCTCTATGTTAATATGATCACATATTCTCCGGAGATGAGATGACATCAGCTGTGCCCAACTGTGTTAGAAAGTCCTGACCACAGGTGAAGGGGGTCAATGGGAGAAAAAACAGGGGACATCTGTAATACACACAACAATAAAGGTAATTTTTTAAGAAATGGAAAGTCCTGACCAAGGGGCAATGGCTGTGTCCTGAAGCTAACAGCCCGCCCTCTGGGGAAAGGCGCCTCCTGCTGGCTGGAACCGATGCACCTGAAATTAGGGCTCACTGACAGTCTCTCACAAGAGGGATGAGGTGCAGAGAGGGGCCTTGTGTTCTTGCAGAGTGGCATGAGCATTGGTGAGGGCATGGTTATCTGGAACCGTGTCCACTGAGCTGGCTGTTAACAAGTCCGTGCTCAGGTTCCTACATGTGCACAATCAGATTCTCTTTTCACAAACCCCTGAGCAGGAGGAGCAGCAGGGAGGCCAGCACTGTGCCTTGGGGGCAGCCTCCCTGCTGGAATGCCAGGAAGACCACACGGCCTTCTTCCTCAGCTCCTCACACAGCTCTACCCTCGAGAAGATCCTTCCTTTGCACTCCACAGACGTTACTTTCACAGCACGTGGCGTGGAAGCACACTGCATGTTCCTGTGTCTGAGTGTTCTCTGTTTTCACAGAACTTTCTGAAGGACATGCTGGAGAAAGCGAACAAGACTGTCGATGACACAAAGCTGGCTGAGTATACAGACCTAATGGTAAGACTGATCCTGAGAAGACTGTAGCCAAGGGCCTTGCCCACTGCCAAGGCTGCGGGGGCTGAGATGAATAACCCATGCTGTGGGCATCTCACCACTGAAAAGCTAGTGCATGAGGATGCCGCCGCCTTGTGGCTCGGTGCTGCGGGCTCCAGATGAGCCGCCCCTTCTACGAAGTTGGTCATTTTGTCTCAAAAGATCACTTGTTTTTCTTTTTTTTTATCCTCACCCGAGGATATTTTCCATTTTTTGTACAGATAGAGTGGGAGGGAGAGAGAGGAAGGAGAGAGAGAGAGAAACATCGACATGAAGGGACACATCGAGTGGCTGCCACCCGCACGACCAACCAGGGCCGGGGACAAACTGCAACCGAAGTACGTGCCCTTAGCGGGAACTGAACCCGGGTCTCTCCGGACCGCAGGCCGACGCTCTAACCGCTGAGCCAAACTGGCCAGGGCTCACTTGTTTTTCTTAAAAGCCAGTGTAATTATACCCCTGTTTTCTATAACTTACACATATGTAAGTTACATAAAAATTCATTATAGAAGTTCTGAATCAGGTTTTATCATAACTTAGAAAATCATGTATTTTGTTAAGTTTAAACAGGCCTTATAGCTACCTTACTCATCAACAGACAGAAATGGGTATTTCCACCTCTTCCTTTTGATGTTTATTATTTTGGAATATTATCTTGGTGCTTTGGATGAGGAAACCCAAATATACCTTTATTGTGATGTCATGGTGAAGAGTATAAGTGAGCTCCATTGTAGAATGAATGTTCAAAGTAGAGCCAAGAAAATTGCTTTGCACATGGGCACTTAATGTTTTAGGAATGAACATCAAACAAATTTATGAAGTCCCAGGTAAAGTCATCCCATGCCCATGTAGTTAATTAGTTTTAAGTGGGTAAACTTTGCTCATTTTGACTCATTACAGTGTTAGATATATGAAGATTTTTTCCCAAATTGGTTCAGCCATAGACCAGTATCTTAGCAACATTATTTTGTTTATATTTTGAAATTCAGAGTATTATTATTCAGATCAGCATGTCTGTGTCCATGCTTTACCTGGAAAGTTGCTGTGAACCCTTACCTCATGGACTTAAATAACCCATAAAGCATAAGTACAAATTATAAAACTATGTTATGTTAGAATGATTAAAAAGGTAGACTTTTTAGTTACCCTGAGAAATCATCTTATAAAGGATTTGATTATATTTGACATAAATGAGATCTGCTTTCAGCCTGTCAGCCTTTTGTGTGTGTGTGTGTGTGTGTGGAGGGGGGGGGGGGGGGGCAATTCTAGAACTTAACTGTTGCCTTATTCACTACACAGTGATATTTATTATAAAGTGGGACTCATTTCTAGTTTCAAAACAATCAAAAAAATGTCATGCTAGGGAAGTGTCCTCATTACATTGCACTTATCACAACATCAGTAGATAACTGTGTCACCCAGGGCATGTCTAAGCGTTGAGTAACTACTTCTGGGAAAAGGACAATAACCTACATTTATCAATTTTCTGTTTTGTGACAATCTTAAGGGATATCTATTTAAAGTAAAGACTCTTTTCCAGGTAGAGATCTGAAGCAGCCTTTTAAAACCACTCAGATGGGACTTTTCCCCTGTTGGACAGGCATATCTGATTAAATGTCATAAACCAGTTCAAATCTGGGAAGCAAATTAATCAAGAACTAATTAAAATTTAAATATATTTGTGGGGAAATATTTCCCTATGGGTACTAAGCTGTGTGATCTAGTGTCCAGGGTCTTGGTACTGATATTAGTATGACAGCATTAGAACTGATGGTCAGTGAAATGTGTCAGCATTCGACCATGAGCAACGCTGCCTCCCACCAGAGCACGCCCTTCCTTCTGCACCCAGAAAGCCCCCATTCTGACACTGGTCACATTCCTTTGTGAACAAAAACAATGTACTTTTCCACACACTTAGTATACATAGTTGATATATTTCACACATAAACCTTCTATCTGATATTGTACAGCAGTATTTCTACCTGCCTCCCAGTGCTGGTATGCAGGTGTTTACATGGGGGTGTGTGATGGGTGGTGTGTATGTACGTGCCTTGGGCAGGTTGAGGGCTTTACAGAGTATCCAGCATCCAAGGGTAACTAAAACAATTCTAAATTACTCAAAATTTCTATTCTCCAAGGATTTATTCACAGTATCTGGGTATTGCTTCTATGTGTAGCCTATTAGGCTCTGAAAGAGAAAAACAAGCATTTATTTCCACACCATTGTGTGCAGAGTCAGGACGTGCTACACTGTCAGAGAGCATCTCTCTCATATCTTGATACATGTATATGCACATATTTACAAGAAAAATTAATGACGATCTTCTGGAAGCCTAGCAAAGATCATTACTACTGTTTGACTCCTCTGAACTGTTCTGAGAAATGTTGGCAATTACACAAGTTACAGAATTGGAAACTTGCACTAAATTTAATAAATGCCGCCTTCTACAACTTTGTCTATATAAGTAACTGGTAACTCAAACTGCTTCATTTTGAATTTTCTTGTCCTTCATACAATAAACCATTCATTCTTCAACAACTACAATAATGACCTTCTGTCTTTCAGCTGAAGTTATTTGATTCAAATAATGATGGGAAGCTGGAGTTAACTGAGATGGCCAGGTTAGTAAAGGGACTACGTAAACATTATCATAAACTGATCCTTGTCAAAAATCTAATCTATTAATGTAATTTTTTTTTTCAAAAGGTTACTACCAGTGCAGGAGAATTTTCTTCTTAAATTTCAGGTATTTTTTCCTTTTCTCTACCATAAATGATATTTTCCTTAAACAGTCAGGATGTGGGAGAGTCACTCCCAGTAAAACCTAGTAGCAGCATTTTAACCTTTGCTCTTCTCTCTCCTCCAGGGAGTCAAAATGTGTGCGAAAGAGTTCAATAAAGCATTTGAGTTATATGATCAGGTAACAGTTTGTTTATCTATAGTTCTTTAGAATTTGGACAATGCTGACTGAGAGAACCCCCTCAAACTCAAGGCTCCTATTTATTAAAAGCACCCAGCTGATTCATTCTCACCCGAGGAAACGTTCTGTGGTGTGTCCCAAATTAGGCAAATCTTGATGCAGATCCCATGCAATGACTTACTTGCTGGAAAGCGTTGACTAAGATACCAAACTTCTCTGAGCCTCAGTTTCCTCACTTGTAAACAAGAGGAACAACACTCCTCTGCAGGTGGGAGAAAGATTAATCTGGATAAAAATATATAGGAGGGTCCCCCACCTAGTAAAGGCACCATCCTGTGTGTGCATGTGTGCGCATGCATGTGTGTGTGTATCCTTGTGTGTAAAGGCTGTTTGCCAGGTCACCTCCTTTATTTGCTCTAAAGTCTCTATCCCTGGACCAAACCAGTGTGACACCAGGGTGGTCACATGGCTTCCCGAGGCCTCCTGTCCTCACTCATATGAACATATGGGTGACCACTGACCTCCATAGGAAGTGATGTGCACATGAAGTGAAGCGTAAAATGTGAAGTTCTTTCCAAAGAACTTTGAAAAGTTCTGTTGAAAAGTTCAAAGTTACAAATGTAAGGTGTTGAATGAGAAGCAATTCAGATCTATTCTGAAATTTTGGAGCAGTCAGAAATGTTGCGAGTCAGACAGAGGGGTTAGAATTCTGCCCAGGATACAGGAGGGGATGTTCTGAGCATCTGTTGTTTGCATTGCCCCTCACTGTGATGGTGTCGGTACCTGCTCTGTTTCTCCTCCCTCAGGACGGCAATGGATACATAGATGAACATGAACTTGACGCTTTACTGAAGGATCTGTGCGAGAAGAACAAACAGGTAATTCGTTACCATGCACTCACTTCTTAGGCAGACTTTACAGATCCATCCAGAAGAAACCATACACTATTTTTGAAAATCTAAACATTTACAGAGGCAGAAGGAGACTTAAATTCTTAACCTGATTTGGTAACTGGGATCAATAGATTTTAAAACAACCCTGTGATTACCCACATTTGTATAAGAATGTAACGCAGCTCCTCTCAATGGATCGATGTAAGGAGCAGTTTCCATGTCACATTCTCTCACTTGGCCTTGGTTACCTCACTTCCACATGTAACTGGGCCACCTGCCCTCTGTGTTCTGTGCAGGATCTGGACATTAACAACATCTCCAACTACAAGAAGAGTATCATGGCCTTGTCGGATGGGGGAAAGCTGTACCGGACGGACCTTGCCCTCATTCTCTCTGCTGGGGACAACTAGAGTTATGACCACAGTCACTTACTAGCGATACACCGTAACTAAAGATAACTGTGCACTATAAAGGAGTAGTCTGTATTTCCTTTTATATCTGTAAATTTAACTGCATATAGGTAACTGTCCAGGATGTGTGGCACAATCTTTTCTGCTTGTTTCTATACTGTTTGTAATGTACAGTTTTTGTAACCACATGACTGAAAAGGAGATTGTCTATGCTTAGGCCAGTCAATATACCCACTAAAAAATAACCTGTCATACTCTTGCTTTAGTACATAGAGCTGGACAATATTTCCCTAAAAATTCCACCAAAATTAATCTCTAAAATTTTAGTCTCTGATAGGTTACTGCAAGTTTTTCACTGAAGCGTTCTTATTTCAGACAATCATAGGTCTGTCCTACAAAATCATTCTAAGTTGTATTTCCAAATATTAGGAAGAATGTGCTTTTGCATCTAAAATACCAACAAACATACCCATCCATAGTTAATTGTGGCTCTATGAGGACAAGTTTTAGTTCATCAGCAATACGTCTCCTGCTTGAATCCTCACCCATGTACTGGTTCAAGGTGATCTGGTGACGAGACAGTGCAAGGACGCATAGATGTGTCTGATTGTGTGTGTGTACTTCCAACAAGTCCACTGTCAGGGAATAGGGCCTCAGCCCATTTTCTAAACTGTTTCCATGTGTTGCAGATTATTATTATTCTAGTAAAATGCTGTTTCTATGTCATATTCTGTGTCATCTCTGATTAAATTATATGTGCCAAGTATCTTGATGTCTAGTTTGTGTCCTTCCTGGATTTTCTTTCCACGCAGACTGTTCATTCACACCCAGCATCTCTGCTGCCTCCGAAAGTATTTTCTAATTCTAACAACTCTATGTTTTACTACATCGCTGAATTCTAATGTAAAATCCATAGTACCCTGATTGTTGAGTGTTACATCAATAACTGTATTCTGTGAATTCTCTATTTCATGTGGAGATGAGCATTCAAAATAATTGAATTTCTATCTGCAAGTAGTTTCAAATGAGTTTAAAAATAACAAGTGAAGAGAAATGCTAATGTAATCATTTCTCTTGTTTCTAAAGGGAGATTTAACACATCCTCTGACCCCCGGCACAGTCTGTCCACCTGTCGCTGGGAGGTCCTGCTCAGGCTGCATGGTGGTGGTGATTGTGACTCTTGGGCTATGAAAGTCCTCATGTCCCTGGAGTCCGTGGTCCTGAGCCAGCTTCACTGTCCCTATCCATGAATTCAGCGCCGACTTTCTCAACTCATAGAAATGACAGTAAAAAAGTGACTTGTCTCTTTTCCCCCAAGAATGAACAGACGACACTCAGAAACGAAATGTATGGAACCACGTGGGCACCGGGGCTTCGCTGCTGGTGAGTGAGCCCCTGACGATGAATACGGAGGGCAGTGAAGCAAATCTCTTGCATTTATGTTGAAAACGTCGGTGTGCCCGTCCGCTGTGGTCAGCAGGTAGGGGACGCACGTGCCCAGAAACATAAACGCACACCTGTGTCCACGAGCTGCCGATGCCTCATGGAAGGGACAAGTGCCCCCAACAGGGAGGGTCACACACAGAAACCTCAACAGTCCAAATATTTGGAGTTTTATTTGTTGTTTTTTTTTTTTTTTTTATCCAACTGACTTGAACCAAAAGTTTCTTCATGAAGGATCTTCTCCACGGGAACAGGAGGGGCACACAGCTTCCTCCACCTCATCGCCAGGGCCCAGGGCTGTCACCAGGCGGCGCTGTCACCGTCACAGCAGAGGCGACACGGGTGGGTGTCCGTGCCAGAGGGCCCTGTCGCGGTCAGCACTGGCCGAGATGACTGTCACTGCTCACTGAGCCTGCACCGGCAGCCGACAGCGACACGCGGTGAAGCCGCGCCGCTCACGCCCGGAGTCCGCGCTCAGATCCGTCTGCGTCTGCGCAGAGGCCCCAATGCGCCGCCACGCAGTGCGTGGGTCTCACACCTTCCGCTCCGAGGCTGTGCCCCTGGAAACCGCTCCGGCTGTGCAAACATGGGCGGAACTCACATGTCCGGGCCGCGAGCCCCTGGGGCGCCCATTGCTGGTGCAGCTCTGGGTCACTCAGCCGCTTCCTCCCTGCGACCTCCAGCGACCTGTAGCACGTGCAGCAGATGAAGGCGCGTGTGCAAAGCGTATGTGCGTCACTCCTGCGAAAAATTGCAGAAATAGGACCCTACAGAAAACTGGGTGAGAAAGCTGAGCAGGCGCTTCACAGTAAAAGAATGTCCCAGTGTTCACAAACAGTAGAGGTCCCCGAAGTTATCGGGGACCTGGAGAAACCGACCCTGCACCAGTGACAACAGGCCAAGATTGGGTGCAGACACCATGGTTGGGGAACGAGGGACACAGCCTGGGGGGTGGGGGGGCGCCAGACGGAGAAGACCGTGGGTCAGGGGACAGAATCAACTGAATCTGAAAACGCTCCTCACACCAGTGTCCCTCCGGGTCGTCGCTCATTGGACAGGGCGACTGTACCCTTCACTCCCACTATAATCGTCCTTCACTCGCAACAGCGAGGACGCAAAACCAACTGCTACCCAGACAGAAGGCGGAGGCAGAGAATGCAGTGATTCCGCTGACAGCTCCGAAAGCAGAGGGACTTGGCAGCAGGAGCAACACTGCTGTTTCAGGGGCAGAAGGGTCTGGATGGGGACACAGCAAGGCTTCGACTCCTGGTGGCGTTTCTTCCTGGACAGTGGCTGCTCACGTGCATTCATTTTGTGATAATTCGTGATTTGTGTCATTTTTCTGTCCCACGTCAATTAAAAGGCTAAACCATTCACTGTGTGTGACCTGGGCAGAGGGGACAGTGTGCGGGAGTCTTCCCCGAAACCATATATTCCACATGTTCTGTCATTAACCCAACAATTATTTACCTCGAGGTTGAGAAATGTAAGATTTTAGGGGAAAATGAAAGGGACTAAGGTCGAGAATGAAGCTATAAAAGCCTATTTTTAAATTCAAGGAACAAAAGAAAAAAATGTTTTTTTCCCCCCGGAAAGATGATCGCACTAGAACTGCATCTGATGAAGACCCTGTTACTGTTCGTTGGTTTAAATGATCCCAAGAAACTGGTTCCAATAGGCAGGAGTCGTGAGCTTGACTAAGTCTGATCTCTAGCAAGTCTTACCTGTGGTACCCTCAGTTACCTCAACTGTACAACCAAGGGGTTGAGAATAGTGTCTTATAGGCTCTTCCAGCTCTAAAATTCTATTATTCAAATTCACTTAAATTCCCACTGATTTAATTTTCTACAAGAACCATAATGAAATACCTGACACTCCATACCTGAAACATTTTCTGGAGGTGTTTTCATAATAAGTGATATTGTTACCAATAATTCTCCTTGTAATTTTCTTTGTATTAACTCTTCCATCCGTGCAGAAGCAGGATTCTGCAGAAATGAAGTACTAACTGGAGTGACAAAGTCAAGATTCTTAAGGTGAACATTGATATGGTTACAGCCCAACAGTAGTATGTCATAAAATACAGTGACTGTATCAATAATGTTTGTTTCTCTTTCAGACTGCTGAAGAAATTTCCTTCTTAAGAACAAATTTCAGTTAATTGCTATCCCATGATCTTTTCTGTCCCCTCTCTATGCTTGCAAGCTTTGCTCACTCATTCAGCATTTGTAATAACATAAATAATGAAACAAATGCTAAAAGTTGTATACAAATTCAGACAAATCAAAATTACATTACTGCATTAAAACACCAATAACCAAAAAGGCAACAGGGCAGTCACAAGTGTAGAAAGGTATTCAGTAATTAATAAACATGTTTTTATTCATAAAATTGGTAAATAGCTTGAAAGTGAGAAGACCCCTATGTTGGTAGGTATTTGTTCAAATTGGTCTTATCACACAGTTCAGGGTGTTTTAAACCCATAAAAACCTTAAGAATTTGGAAATGTACATCAAGGGTCTTTAAAAGCTTTACAACCTTTTATTAATAATAGTACTTCCAGGAATCCACCATGAGGAAACAATTCCAAATTTTAAAAATGTTTTAGGCCCAAGGAGTTCTTCACAGGTGTATATATTACACTGAAAAATAAAAATAACCTAATTCCAAACATAAATAATTAAATCAAGTATGATAAATATAAACACTGAAAGCCCTGGCTGGGTGACATAGCTGGTTGGAGCATCAACCCATACACCAAAAGGTTGCAGGTTTGATTCCTGGTCAGGGCACATACAACCGATAGATGTTTCTCTCACACTGATGTTTCTCTCTCTCTCCCCCTTTCCCTCTCTCTAAAAATCAATAAAAAACATATCCTCAGGTGATGATTAAAATGATATATATAAACAATGAATTTGAAAAGTGTCAAATTTATGAAAAAACGGGATCTGATTTATCATGCAATTTCAATTATTCAAAAAAAAAAAAAAGCAGGGAGGTTATGAAAACATTGGGGAAAAACAATATAAAGTTACAAAAATGTGTACACAATATTAATTTAACCAAAAATAAGGATATAGTTATATTGGTAGAATTAGTGGTAGAGAAGAGTGTTAAAAGAGCTGAAGATGGTTACTGTGGGAGGAGACCTATAGAGCGGGCACCACTGAAATAGTTTCCTGTGTGCATTATACAGACAAATCACTTTCATATAAATAAAAAGTTAAAAATCAAAGGCTGAAAACAAATATACCAAAGTATTAACAGAGGTCTTCTTTAGAAAGTTAGTTTATCCTTTTTATTCTTTTGTATTCTCATTGTCTATGATAACCATGTCTCAGAAAGACAGAACTCACCTTTCATGTGTATGATTTACAATTTTCACAATGTTTTTACTTTTTGTACCTCACTTAATCCTCACCACAGCCCATGAAGCACATATTATAATCCTAAATTTATAATGAAGAAAATAGAAGCGATGAAACTTACACAAGGTCATTTATATAACTACTGGCACTGTATTTTTCCTACACCACAAGAGGTATTGATAATTTAAGAAGAAAGATGTAGACAAATGAAAGCTAGGGTTAGTGTTAAAGGGGCGGAGACTGGGCACCTGCATTGTGAGAGTGTGCGGAAAAAGGGTGACATACTAAAAGGCAAGGCCAGAGCTGGTTGAGTGGGATGTCAAGGCCACTTCTCCCAAACCTACAACACACCCATCTGTGTACACACCTAACAGCCAGTGCAGTGAGGGTTTCTCTGTGAGCTTAGAGCATACACACTCAAACAGAGGAACTACACTTCTTGACAGATCCATTCCGAGGAGGCAGGGTGGAAGCTGGTTCCCTCTCCTAGGAAGCTGGGCAGTGGGGACAGTCAGTCTGCTGAGCATGCAAGTAGAGATTCCTGTGAAAACAAAACAGATCTGTTTAAAATACAAGCTCAAAATTATAGCTACATAGACTTGAGAATGTGGCTTTCTTACTTGATTCTCAGAATGACTTATTTCTCAGGATGACCAATTAGTTAGGCCAAATGTGAACTTCAATTAAATGATACACAAAACAACACTTCATAAGCTTTGTGCATCTTCTCTACAAAGATCATCTATTTTTCTTTTGAAGCTGGGGTGGAATGCAACCTCCTCCATGCCACCTTCTCTGAACTCTGGAGACAGAGTGAGCTACTTCCTCCTGCACACATCACCACTGATGGAATGGTATTTATCACAACGCATCATAAATAATTATTTATAGTGTCTTTCCTGATAGAAAGTGAGTTCCTACAGGGCAGAGGCTGTAGATTAGCCATGTTTTATCCTTAGTACCAAATAGAAAAATCCTGGCTACAAAATAGGTCCTGGTAAGATTTGTTTGAATTGATATTGAACTATCCAAAGAAGACAATTCACATGTCCAGTGAAAAGGAAATAAACAGGAAAGGCAGAGTCCATTAAATTCACCCCAGGCCCTTGAATTTCTTCCTTTCAGACCCCATCACCATAGACATGATTTATTATGTACATAGTTCATATGCTACTTCCACCTCTGAGAGCCTCCTGACTTTCCCAGGTTCATTTCCCTGCACTTCCAAGCACTTTTCACCTGCCAAAGCCTTCACTCACTTCACTCTTTTTTATTTTAAAATTAATTCTGAAGGGATGAGATCCCATCTCATGTATCTTTGAATACACAATGCCTAACAACCATCAGCCTGGCACAAAGCACACATTCAATGAATGTTTGTTAATTAACAATTTATTAGACTTGAGAATATTCAAGAGATTATAGTCAGTTTGTGTTGTTTCTATGGGAACCAAGATGAAAGCCAGAGTGTCTTAGGAGCCCTTTGTCTTCCTGATCAGTCCTTCCATGATGTCCCACTGCTCCTTGGTGACCTGACACAAAAAAGAAAGGTCAGTTTAATGTGGTCCTTGCATGCTTTTAAAGCTTAGTATCCTTGCTGCTAATATTATATTATATTAATTATATTCACAAAATGGCATTACCTTCATCAGGTTGTTGAATTCCCCTGAAATAAATACTTCTTCTCCACCATCAAATCTAATGACCTGAAAATAAAAAATTAAAAACTCTGAAACTAACTCCTTTTCAAAGTTTCTGAATCATTAGCCACTTCCTCATCCTTAGACCTTTCAACCAAATCCCAAATTTTAAAGACAGAACTGATTAAACTTCATTTATTTTCTTTAGAATCCTCTTTCCACCATTTCCACAATTACAAATTCTATCCAGTTCTAAGGAACTTAAAGGAACATCTACCAGAATAATTTTCATTTAATAAAATTAATGTATCAATTAATCAATTCCATAGACTAAACGGTGTATATTAATATTTTGATATTATTTAAATTTAAATAAATATTTTAAATCGCATTTACATTCAACCTTGTCAGGACTGGTTTCACCACATGCCTCCCTCCTCCCGCAACATCCACCTCCGTAAGGTGAAGAGAGAACAGTGCTCACAGCCCCATTGATCCAAGAGGCATAATCGCTGCACAGGAAAGTGGCGAGGTTGGCAATCTCCTCCACGGTCCCCAGCCGCCCACAGGGGATTCGGTGGACCATTTCTTTCTCGAATGTTCCCATCGGGTCCAAACGGCTAAAGGCACCCTTAGAAATTAAAAAAATAGTTAGATTTTATATTTTTAATGCAACCCCTTTCCGATTTAAGAAATACACTTGCATACAGTGGAATGTTACTGTGGCAGCCTGCTCATACCCTAGGCCTCATAAGCAACAGAGAATTTTGCCCAATTCTTCCACATTAACTTTAGTTCAAACAGGTCATGTTATCTTACATTGACCTAAAAAAATCACCAGGAAGTGTAACCTTTTTAACCTTAGTTTCTTCATCTGTCAAATTAGGACACCTGGCTCAGCTACCTCACACAATTGTCATAAGCATCAGATGAGAAAGTTATGACAGTATTCTGATGTGCACAGGCCCAGTGTGTGGGGACCAGGGGCCCTGTCGTGTGACTTAGCAAACACAGAAAGTGACTCAAGTAGGAAATGTTGACGAGGAAATTACTTTTCTTCTCAAATAACAGGAAAGAAGAACACAAGTATGTAGGGATAATTCAAGTAGATCCAGAGAGAGGAAAACCGTAACTAAATTTGCCAATAACGTAATGGTGAGGAGCAGACCAGAGTGGGGTAGAATGTGTCCCAAGGAACAAAAGGCCTGGACTTTGCTACACTTGAGCCTGGAGGTGACAGCTGTCCTCAGTGACACGATATGACCTGTGAGCCGCCAGCTGTCCCTGGGCAGGTAGCAGCATCTGTGACAAAGAGGGCGCTGGTCCCAACCCTGGTTCTAGGAGTCTCTATACTTGGGTTTTCTTTCATCTCTTTAAAACAATTTGCTTGTTATTCATACCTCTGCTACAAACCCTGTCACGGCGTTTTTGTCTCTCTCTCACACCTTTGCACACAGTAGACAATAAATGTTAAATAAAGAGGAAGGTGCAGGGCTCCTTCCCAGATTGAGTCCTAGGAAGAAGATTCTGATGAGTTCTTCTCCGAATACTGAGCACAGAGCCTCCCTGGCCATGTGTTTGGACATAAGCTTTGAGTTGCTAAAGGAGCTATTCAGTGACGTTTTGCTCCCTCAGGTCATTTTTCTTTACGTTTTCCACCTTTTAAACTGCCGAATAAGCCAGTACAGCCATTTCTATGTTAATATTTAATAACCCTGAATCACCTACAACCCAAATGCCTCTTATCTTCCTATGTTCTGTACACCTGGAACAAGTTACCAGACTTCACCTCAGCCTTCTAACTATATCCGACCGGGACTGTCGATTCCTGCTTTACATGAAAACGAGAAGTGTCGGAGTGCTGTCATCTGGGTCGCGGGAGGGAGGAGAGCACCACCTGTAACCGCGTTCGCGCTGCGGGTTGCTGTGCGGTGTGCGCAGGGTGACTGACATGGTGGGGTGCAGCCACTGGAAGGGTTTTACCAGATGGGGTCACAGGGCGTGCACAGTGTTGGAAGTGAACAGCTACAGGCAAGGGTCAGAGAAATGCTCTCTGGAGCAAGACCAGGCCTCTAGCATAAATTTCTACAGCGCCTCTTAAACTAAAAATATACATCTCCATTATTTCAAAAAAAGCACGTCAAAGTGAGAATCTTTAAAACACGGTTACACTAAGAACTACAAGACAGAAACAGGTCACTGAAGCGAATCAGAGAAAATGCCAACACTGATGGCGTAAAAGATGCCGCGGATGAAGACACTGAACTGACGCGACGCAGCAGTCACAGGGCTGGAGCCCGGCCCCCCTTATTCCTCAGACTGGGGGCGCACAGTCCCTGCCTACCACCAACACTCCTGAGTCAGGCCGCCCTGAAGGTCCCTCTCACACAATCAGAACACATCCACCCAAGTTTTATTCCTCAACCACTCACAAGGTGGTAACATGTCAACTAGGACTTACTTTGGTTTTTATAGGCCCTGGTTGGATCACGTTGAACCGCATTCCGTATCTACCCCATTCGGCTGCAAGAGACCTACACATTAAAACAAAATTTAGAACACATGTTAAAAACAATAATAACCATGCTTAGTACATGCCAGAGACTACAACCCCAGCCGCAGTTACTGTGATTGTCCCCATGTTACCGACAAGGAAGCTGGGGCACAGAGGTTAATGCCTAAGTCACTGCGGCTCAGTAGCCTCACTCGAGTTCATGCCCATAGTCACCGCTGCCCTGTCATTCACACTGCTGTGTCCGTAATCACCCTGCTAATCCACACTTCAGAACCCAGGCCAGTATCAACACTTGGCGTACAGCCACCCGAGAAGTACAGCCCACATGCCCTGGGGTTAGTCCTGCACCGACAGTCCGCCAGGTCACAGCGCTTGCGACCTCACCAGCGCTTCAGTAGGCGCGGGATGGGTTACGAAGACATGAAATACTGAAACAGGAATCGAATCAACTCTTGCTGCAAGTACAACACCAGCAGCAGACCCGGAACCTGTGTGAAAAGGCCACTGGACAAACAGGTTCACTTATTACCAAACTTATTTTGGGACTTTATATTCGTGTGTATACACTTAATCTAGTTTCAAAACATGACTTAACGTGACTTACAAGAATACATACAGTAGAAATGAGAAAGATAAGCTCATTTGAAAGTAAGAAGGAGAAAAGACCACGGATAAGGAGATGCAAAGGCACAAAGAGCAGAGCTAGCACCGCATCATACTTTCAAATCCCACATAATTACAGCAGGCGAGTCACGAATTTGTGTCCCTCTTTCCATGACGCTACACAGAAAGGTGAGCCCAGCCAGTCAATTAGCAGTGCCCATAAGAAAAAAACAAGCCAGTTTCTCAAGAGAAGCACATTGTTTTTGATAAATGATGGAAAAGCATTTCTTCCAAGATGTATAAAAGGAAGATTGTGTAATAAAATACTGTCCTTAAGGCAATGCCCCCTTGCAACCGATACAAGGGGATACGTTTTCTGAAACTATAACACACCCACTCATATGACCGCTTGGAGTCCCTTCAGCGGCCAGTTCTGGGGGTAGGGGTGTATACATCCAACAGTCTGTCATCTGACTTAATCCTTGGGCAGTCAGAGCAATTGGTGGCCTGTGTGTCTTTTGGACAAATCATACATAAAAATTGCTTCTCTGCTCGATGCTCTGACAGTTCATGACCACACCTCCACTGGGTGCATCTTCTGCATCTACTATAAATGCTGGGGATGTGGTATCTTCTCGCTCAGCAGAATTCCTGAGCTGAGCAGACTGTAGTCCTGTGAGCTACTGAGCGACCAGCTGGAAGACGGCCCGGAGGAGCGGCGTCCCTCCCGCGCGACAGGACTGACGCTGGTGCACTCACTTGTGCAGGGCTTCCACTCCCGCTTTGGCAGAAGCACTGGGCACCACAAAGCCCGAGCCGCTCTCCGCATAGATGGTGGTGATTGCAAGAAACGCTGCTCCTGGAATTTTAAAAGCACAGGCGATTGATAATACAGATAAATCTGACATTGTTCTTAGCAATATCCTTTTTAAAAAATATGTTCTTATTGATTTTTTAGAGAGAGAAAGAGAGAAACATCCATGTGAGAGAGAAACATGGATTGGCTGCCTCCCACACGCCCCTACTGGAGATCGAGCCCACAACCAGGGCATGTGCCCTGATGGGGAATCCAACTGGGACCTCTCAGTCCATAGGACGACGCTCAATCCACTGAGCAATACCAGCCAGGCAGCAATATCTTTTGGACATGTCTCCTTGGGCAAGGGCAACAAAAGCAAAAATAAACACATGGGAATACATCAAATTAATAAGTTTCTGCACAGCAAATGAAACCATCAACAAAACAGAAAGACAACCTACTGAATGGCAGGAGATAGTCACAAATGACATATCCATTGAGGGGTTAATATTGAAAATATATAAAGAGCTCATATAATTTAACACCAAAAGCCCAGCAGGTGTGGCTCAGTAGATTGAGTGTCATCTCATGGACTGAGAGGTCCCCGGTCAGGGCATATACCTGGAGTTTCAGACACAATCCCCATTAGGGGGTGTGCAGGAGGCAGCCTACCAATGTATCACTTTCACATCGATGTTTCTCTCTCTCTCTCTCTCTCTCCCTTCCTCTCTCTCTAAAGAATAAACAAAAAAATCAATAATTTAACCCCAAAAAACAAACAACCCACTTTAAAAAATGGGAAGAGGTAAAACCAGATAAAGACACTACAAAGAAAGAAAATTACAGGCCAATATCCCTGATGAACATAGATGCCAAAATCCTCGACAAAAACTTAGCAAATCAAATCCAGCAATATATTAAAAAAATTATACACCACAACTAAGTGGGATATATCCCAGGGATGCAAGGCTGGTACAATATTCATAAATCAATAAATGTGATACACCACATAAACAAAAGGGAAGATAAAAATCACATGATCATATCAATAGATGCTGAAAAAAGCATTTGACAAAATCCAACACCCATTTCTGATAAAAACTCTCAGCAAAGTGGGAATAGAAGGAAACATAGTAATATTGTAATAACTATGTATGGTGCCAGGTGGGTACTAGACTTATTGAGTTGATCACTTTGTAAGATATATTTCTTGTTTTCAGTGATCTAGAGATTAAAAGAAAAATTCGATATTTATCCTGCCCATGTCCTTTGTGACTAGACTCTTAAATAAAACCCCATAATAGTCTCTGTTTTAGTCTTTCCTCAGGGCAAGTTCTCTCAGCTCTTTAATAAAATTAGGTATTCTTTTCCCCACTATTTACTAATATTTACATTTGTGCACTATAGCCTAGTGATGAATGGATCTCAGCACGATATTTTCAACATCCTTCCCAAAAAGGACCAGCCATGTCCTTACTGACCTTTGTGGCTAATGTTCAGGAGTGTCCTAAGTCTCTTATTTGTTGAGTATTGTTAATTTTATATCAGTGCTGCTTAGAAACATGCTTCCACAATGTCCCTAATGCTGGCTTCCCTACCCCTGCTCAGACCACACTTCTTGGATTCTCAGGCGCCTGCTTGGCCCCAGCTGCATGCTGTCACCAAGTCCTGCCCGGCCAGCATGCATTAGAGGCTGGAGCCCTCACCTAGCTGCCTTCCTAGATGCTGGACCACCTCACATGCTTCTAGCCTGCGGCCCTCAAGGGACTCCAGATTTACGCACTTTGACATACTTCAGACATCACCACACCCAAGTTCCTGGGTGTTGCTCCTGTCTGGAGTGGATCCCAGTGCCCAACTCCACGGGCCAGTGGAGCCAGGCCTGAAACCCCACAGGGTAACAGCATCGATAACTGACCGGAGGCTTGGGAGAATCAAAACTGGCTTCTGTCCTTTGAAAAGTCTTAGCAAATATATTTTTAATGAAGCTCATAGAATTTTAATCCAATGTGAGGAATAAAAATAGATCCAAGTCTGTGTTAAAATGAAAGGCAATCATGAGAAAAGAAAGGAGAAATCAGGCCCGCAGGGAAGGCTGGGGAAGAATGAGAGGCAGAGAGACAAGAAACACGGTGATGAGAGATGGAGATGGAGCGAGAAACCAAGAACCAGGGAAGAACTGACAGAGGAATAGAGATGAGTGAGATGTGGAGAAAGTCAGATGGAGGGAGAAGAGATACAGAGACCAAGATCCTGGGGCAGGATGGAGAGAGGGGTCAGCCCATCCCTCTGTCTCCCTTCCTCATCACTCATCCCATCTGAAAAATTAAAATAAAAAACAAAAAAATTGCTCCATCTCCAACCTAGATCACATCCCCTTTGTGTGATGGGAATGAGTGGCCTGGGTCTGAATTTCAGTGAGAGCCTAGAGAAAGCATGGGAGTTCTCAGCATACTCTGGTACCTTCCCAGCACCTTCTGTCTGTCCTGACATCCTTCCCAAAGTCGGGCTGCGAACTACCTGACTCCAACCACCTCTGAAAACCCAGCTCAACCTGACAGTCATCCCAGGGAGAGCTGGTCACTCCTGCCCTGGAATCCCAATGCTCTTGAAACGCAGGGATCTCGGCTCATCACAGCACATGGTAATGACCGAAGGATCTTTCCTCTGTGAGATGATGACTGTCCACGTATGGACACTGCCCCACAGGGAGGAACAGACCGTCTACCTTTCTGTGCTTTAATTAGTTGCTTCCCAATTTCCAGGGTCACGAAGGCCGTGCCATTCAGAACTATGTCGGTGATGGTTCTCCACGCGTTAGCAGACAGCCTCTCGCTGGGAGAAATGAAATTCCCTGCTGCGTTGTTTATCACAATCTAGTAGAAGAATTCGGTGAGTTAGAGGAACTCTCAGGTGAGGGGGAATATTCTCCTGCCAGGGCTTCGACTTCCGAAACCTATTAATCCAATTGGTCTGCTATGAAACACCATGAGATTTGAGCCTATGAAAATCTCCTGCTGTTGTACCAGATTTCAGAATCCTAATTCTTCTCTCAAAATCAAGGTAGAGTCTATTTTCGAGAACATAAATACAAGGCACCTACCATGTAACTATGGTTTATTTCAAGGAGTCTCAGTTAAAAAGCCTTTAATTTTGGTGTAATTTTGGTTTAACTCTCCCAGTGAAACTCCTGGCTGATGACCAGTTTCTTCACTATCAGTAAAGATCCCGCTTAGTTCTACAGCAGAGTTGATATTATTGCTGTGTGGACATATCTTTAACATAAGCTTCCCCCCAATACAGGAACCTAAGGGCAGTGACCCATCCAGGTCTTAAAAGAACCCTGGACTTCCTTGTAGGTTTCTTGTGTGTATTATTCTCCACCGACACGATCAAGGTTATCAGGCACCGCAAAGAGTACGCATCCTTTAAACTAGTTACTGTGTTCCTGGACAACTGTTCTTCCTAGTTCATACTCTGATTGAATAAAGTGAACTCCAGTTTGTTCTGCAAGACTGTAAATGCATTTTTAAAGGTTTTCTGAAAGGATATGGTGCAGCTGTCTGTTCTAATCTGGTCCCTGAAGGGACCGTCCGATGGGTGCTTCCCACAGCATCAAAGTGATCTTAGGGGGTCGGGGGGCCTCACATCAGGGTGGCCGGCCACTGTGATCAGCTCCGACACTGCCTTGTGGACCATGTCAGGATCCCGAACATCACACTGAACTGCATGAACCTGCAAAGTAACAAAGGCAAAGGAATCCCACATTTCTCAGGTTTCCTAAAGCAAGACCACGAGTAAAGCTTATTGAAGCATGTTGTAATTCCTGAATCTAGATTAAATAACTGACGTTAGTGTACCTTGTTTCCAGTCTGAGATGAAATGTGCTCTGCAGTGGCTCTCAAAACATCCATCTTTCTAGAAACAGACACATTCTGCATGAGTTCTGAAATGATGTTACATATTTTTTTTCTTTTTAATTCCATAAATTAAAAAACAAACATAATCTATAGCTTAAACAGATAATACAAAAACTACAAATGAGTCAGTTTGAATGCAGTTATCTAAAGTTGAATTCAAACAATTTTTATGATACTAGTGAATTATTTACATTTAAACCAGTCATTCTACATCTACTCACAGATTTTCATCTTTTTCTTTAATTATAATCATTTGTATCTGTTCCCAAGGCTGCTTTTAGAAAGAAAACACATTCATCATATAAGTTATATTATACTATATACTACATTTTATTTATGTATTTATTTATTTTTTGGTTAATCCTCAGTCAAGGATATTTTTCCATTCATTTTCAGATACAGTGGAAGGGAGAGAGAGAAACACCAATGTGAGAGAGACACACTGATTGGTTGCCTCCCTCATGATCCCAGCTGGGGCCTTGGATCAAACCTGGAACCAGGTGTGTGCCCTTGACTGGAATCAAACCAGGACCTTTCAGTCTGTGGGCCGACACTTTGTCCGGTAAGCCAAAATGGCCAGGGCATAGATTTTATATAGTATCTCTATGATAGAAGATTCTAGACCAAATTTATGTATATAAATGCATTATGTACATTCAGAACCTCTTACTTTGAAAGAAACAAAATAATAAACCATGAGTATAAATTATGTAGTTACAAAAAACAGACTTTAACGCTCTTAAAAATATTACAACATAAAAACCAAAAATAATTGTTCTGGCCAATTTGTATTCTAGGAAACATCTGAAGGAAATTCCTTTCGCCCCTTGTAAATTACATAGTGAGTCTCAGTCAGATTCTACTTGACAATGTTTACACTACTCAAAATAAAAGGGAGGGGCAGTTTTGACCAGTTTCTGAAGTTCAGTTGTAGGAATTAGGATATGCCTCAGAGAGAAATCCCTTCCACGTGGCCTCGCACTTCCTACATTCATCACAACCACAGATGTTTGATACATCTGCCCATCTTATAGAAAACAGAAGGATTACATCCATTATCCTTGCACACGGCTGTTCACTGAAGCAGTGATTACAATCACTTCCACTGAGAACACAGCAGCCTCAGTGTTGTACTTTTCAGCTTCATCTCCATGTACAGAAGAAAATTCTATCACTGCATTTGGGAAATGTACTCATCAGCTGTTCCACAACCAATCATTATTTCTACTACCATCCCAAGTTATAACAGTTTTTTCCAAGGAGATATACTCCAATAATGCACGTAACGGATGTTTCCTAAAAGATTAAAATGCAAATCTAACAACTCTGGCAAAGTGTTTTCAATCTTGACACACAGAATTGTCTTCCAGCAGACTCTCTCCGGGCCTTGGGAGTGACTCACCGGCTGGCTATCACACACTGAGCGCCCAGGCTGGACAGGAGACTGGTCATTCCTCGGCCAAGGCCAGTGCCTCCCCCGGTAATGAAAGCTACTTTCCCCTGGAAACTGTTAGGTGGTAGCATCGCTTTTTGAAGAGGTGGAAAGAATTTAGATTGAAAAGCATCACTGCTTTGATATAGTATTTCCGTTCCATAACTGAAAAACTAAAAGGAAAACAAAATGAATTGAAATTTGCACACATGTATTTCCACAAAGATGAATTTCAGAAAGCTTACTCTTCAATATTATGCAAATACTTGCATTAACACAAACTCCCTGCAAACATATTGGCATTGTATTTCAATTACTCTTTCCTATTGGAATGTTAAGTGACATAGTGGAATGGCTAAAATCATGGATGGGCTTTGGGGCAAAACAACATAGCAAAGAATGTTCTCTACAGTTGTATAACCATCAACAAGCGTATTAACTTCTTTGTGCCTCAGGTTCTTCTACAAATGGAGACAATAACAGAACCTCCCCCACAGGATGCTGTGAGGATTTCATGAGTTGATATAAGTAAAATACTCACAACACTGTTCAGCACATATGAGCACTCTATAAGTACTAAATACTATTATTTGCAGAGGTTTTACTTAAATATAACTTTAAAAAACTAACATAAAGCTTTTTTTTTTTTTTTAGGGAGAGGGTGAGAGAGAGAAACATCCACGTGAGAAACATCAGTCGGCTGCCTCCTGCACACGCCCTATCCAGGATCGAGCCTGCAACCTGGGCATGTGCCCTGATCAGGGATCGAACTGGCGACCTTCAGTGCACAGGCCAGCACCCAACCAACTGAGCCACACCAGTCAAGCCAAATAGATTTGTATTTTAACAAAAATATTTTAGATAAAATCACATCCCACTGTGGGAGACATTTTGCATGGCGTCAATTTTGTTATAATCTGCTCTGCCATCACCTGCCCCAAGGCAGGATATCTCTGCATTCTGCATTTCTTTATCTCTGTATTTTGCATTTCTTTAAGTAACCATTTACTCATCAGCCAGTCTTTACTGACCTTTTGTTCCTTTTGTAGTATTTCCTAGAATTGCTTCGGGCAAGCCTGGTGCTTGGCAACAGGTGCTTCTTACCCTATATATTGTACGAATTACCGCTGAATAAACGAGACTTGATCAGAATCCTGTCTTGTCTCCATTTCTCGTGTCTCTTGTCCCTCCTCATCCTCACTCCCCCCCTAGAGTCCTCGTTGCTCGACCTGCGGGACGGGTCAAGTGGCGCCCAACGTGGGGCTCCAGCACGGGGGATCCAGTGAAGGACGCCGTTCGAGTGGCCGGCAGAAAGGAAAGCAAAGGAAAAGAAAATAAAAGAAAAGAGGTAACAACGTGGGAACCTGCTACGTCTGCACCCCTCGGGTAAGTGAATGGCGATTATGGGTCAAGCATTGAGCCAAGATAAGATGTTCGTTGAAGAACTAAAAAAGGCTATCAAGGCACGAGGAGTAAAGGTGAACATTAAGCATTTGTGTCAGTATTTTGATTATATTAAAGAAGTTTGTCCTTGGTTTGGAACAGAGGGAATTATAGATCAAAAACGGTGGAAAATAGTTGGTGATGCTCTTAAAGATTATTATAAGACTTATGGACCAGAGAAGGTCCCGGTAACTGCTTTTTCTTATTGGTATTTAATAGATGAGATTTTATCTCAGAGACATTCTGATCCTCTCGTTGTCAATGTAGTAGAATATGGCGAGGGTATATTACAGAAAGAAAAAAAGGGGAATGAAAATGAAAGCAAAGAATGTGAGGACTTCATGTCATTCGATAGTGATAATGAGGAAGAAGAAACTGAGCCCACTCGGAATAAAATTATGCCTAAAAGCTCTATTTATCCCGACCTATCAGAATATTTGGAGACTGTTCCTGACGGAGGGGAGGTATATTGGGATGAATTGGTGGATGAAGCTGCCAGATCTGATTGGCCTCTTGTTTCTCAACGCCCCCCACCTTATAATAATAATTCCAGTGCTCCCCCGCTGGCCTGTCCAGTCCTTGACCCTAGAAAAGAACTTAGAGATAAAATTGAACACCTCAAAGAACAAATAAAACTGGAAAAAGAGCACCAAGATCTCATAGCCCAATTAGAAGGACTAAAAGTAGGAAAATCTAAAAAGGAGAGTGAAGTAAGATCAGAAGTCCTCGGTAATCAAAAGCCACCCATGAGGGGAGCTGTCCCAAAGATCCCTCCCCGCTTGCAACTTGCACCAGAGCTAGATGATATAGAGGCTTTTCCAGTAACAGAAACAGTGGACGCGCAAGGACAGGCTTGGCGTCACCATAGCGGGTTTGATTTTAAATTAATAAAGGAGTTAAAAACCGCTGTAGCACAATACGGAGCCACAGCCCCGTATACTATGGCAATTTTAGAATCAGTAGCTGAGAATTGGCTTACGCCTGGGGATTGGCAAACATTAGCCCGAGCGACACTTGCTGGAGTAGACTATCTCCTATGGAAATCAGAATATGTAGAGAACTGCAGGGACATTGCTAAACGCAATGTGCAGGCTGGTAATGGATGGAATTTCGATATGCTAATAGGAGAAGGAAATTATGCCAATAGTGATGCCCAAATGCAATATGATGCAGGTCTTTTTGCCCAAGTTCAGGCTGCAGGCACTAGAGCATGGAGGAAACTGCCCACCAAAGGCGACATGAGCTCCTCCCTTACTAACATTAAACAAGGACCTGATGAGCCTTTTGCAGATTTTGTTCACCGCTTAATTACTGCAGCAGGCAGAATTTTCGGTAATGCAGACGGCGGTATAGATTTTGTTAAACAATTGGCTTTTGAAAACGCTAATGCTGCCTGTCAAGCCGCTATTAGACCTTATAAGAAAAAGACTGATTTAACTGGCTATATTCGCCTATGCTCTGATATCGGGACTGCCTATCAACAGGGCCTTGCCATGGCTGCCGCCTTGCAAGGGTATACAGTCAGACAGTTCTTATCCCAACAAAACAATAATAAATGTTTTAACTGTGGGGAAACTGGACATTTCGCAAGGAATTGTAAAGGAAATCCCACTAATAACTCAAAAACTCAGACTCCAGGAGTTTGCCCTAGATGTAAAAGGGGGAAACATTGGGCTAATGAATGTAGGTCTAAAAAGGATGTTCAGGGTAACGAACTATCCCCGATGCAGGGAAACGGGCACAGGGGCCAGCCCCAGGCCCCCAAACCCAAACAAATCTTTGGGGCAGTCAGTTTTGTTCCAGCAAACAACAATCCATTTCAAACCTCCTCAGAGCCACCACAGGAAGCGCAGGATTGGACCTCAGTTCCACCACCTATACAGTCCCTTCCTACTGGAATTTTTGGCCCTCTGCTTGAAAACACATTTGGACTAATAATAGGACGTAGCAGCTCAACAATGAATGGACTACAAGTCCTTCCAGGAGTCATAGACAATGACTACTCCGGAGAAATTAAGGTTATGGTGTCATCCCCCAAAAATATTAATACTGTCATCACAGAACAAAGATTCGCTCAATTGCTGCTCCTGCCTTTGATGCCCACCACAAATAGGGCAGTATCAGGACAAAGAGGTGATCAAGGCTTTGGGTCATCAGACGTTTACTGGGCAGAGGTCATATCAGCACAAAAACCCATTATGTCTCTCTGGTTAGATGGTAAGAAATTTGCAGGGCTTATAGATTCAGGGGCTGATGTCACAATAATTAAAAAGGAAGACTGGCCTACAGCCTGGCCCTTAGACGCAACTCTGACTCACCTAAAAGGAATAGGGCAAAGTCAAAACCCAGAGAGAAGTTCAAAGCTATTAACTTGGAAAGATCAGGAAGGTAACCAGGGTACCATACAACCATATGTTATAGCTGGATTGCCTATAAATCTTTGGGGTAGAGACCTCTTATCCCAATTAGGATTAATAATGGGAAGCCCGAATGCTGTTATTACTACCCAAATGTTGAAAACCGGATATCTACCTGGCCAAGGGCTGGGAAAAAATAATATGGGTATAACAGAACCCATAGAGCCCTCCCCAAAGACTGATAGGGCAGGATTAGGCCATTTTCCATGGGGGCCATCGACACTCCTGTGACCCATGCAGAAAAGATCACGTGGCTATCCGAGGAGCCGGTGTGGGTTGATCAATGGCCTCTAACAGCAGAAAAACTGATGGCTGCACAACAGCTGGTACAGGAGCAGCTTGATGCTGGCCACATTGTCCCTAGTAACTCCCCTTGGAATACGCCTATTTTTGTCATTAAAAAGAAATCTGGTAAATGGCGGCTATTGCAAGACTTAAGAGCTGTAAATAAGACTATGGCACTAATGGGAGCCTTACAGCCAGGACTTCCCTCACCTGTTGCCATACCTTTGGGTTATTTCAAAGTTATTGTTGATCTAAAGGATTGTTTTTTCACGATTCCTCTGCATCCAGATGATCAGAGGCGATTTGCATTCAGCTTACCAGCTATAAATTTCAAAGCGCCTATGAAAAGATTCCAATGGCGTGTTCTGCCACAGGGAATGGCTAATAGCCCTACCCTATGCCAATCCTTTGTGGCTTCAGCCTTACAATCAGTTAGAGACAATTGGCCAAATATGTACATTATACATTACATGGATGATATCCTCATAGCCGGAAAAGAGGGGAGCGAGGTTTTGAAATGCTATGAGGTGATGCGCATTGCCTTACGAGACAAAGGCCTGGAAATAGCCCCTGACAAGGTCCAACTCACAGACCCTTATACATATCTTGGTTTTCAAATGCGAGGGTCCCTAATTTCCTGTCAAAAATTAGAACTAAAATTAGACAAGCTTAAAACCCTAAATGATTTCCAAAAATTGCTAGGGGACATTAATTGGCTTATGCCCTATTTAAAAATCAGTAAAGGAGAACTTAAACCCCTGTATGATATATTGCAGGGAGATGCCAACCCTACATCTCCCCGTGAACTTACCTTGGAAGGAAAACAGGCTATACACAAAGTCGAACAGGCTATCCATTCTCAAGCAACCACCTTTATGGATTACACTAAACCTTTAAAGTTTATTATTTGTAAGACTGCTCTCTCCCCTACCGCTGTTTTCTGGCAGACAGCGCCCTTAATGTGGATTCACTTGCCTGCCACACCTAAAAGGGTCATTGAGCCATATTATCAGGCAGTTTCCAATCTC